GCAGCCTCTCTCCTGGGTGTAAGAGGAGAGGTCAAGGGATCGAAGGTCATGAGAGGAAACTGAAGATATTGTCCTCAAACTTCCCTGTCCCCCACCAAGTTCCCTCCAGTGCTCTGCTGCCATATTCCCCCAGCCCTCTGGACTCCTCTAGGTCCTGGGGTCCCTGTGCCCTGATTTGCACCCCTCACCTGAAATGACTTCCAGGAGCAACATGAGTTTGAGGCCATTGCGGAAATCCTCCTCGATGTTCTCGATCTGGGTGCCGGCCTTGCGCAGGTGTGAGTTGCACCAGGCAGTGAAGGTCTGGGGGCAGAGGACAGTGCTCAGGCCCCTTGGTCAGGGTAGATCTCAGAGCCCAAAGCCCTGGATTCAAGTCCCCGCTCAGTCACTGACTTGCTGCGCATCTGGGGCCAGCCCCTTTCCCTCTCTGAGCTTTAGTTCTCCTGGAAGAGGAGAAATGGGGTCTGGGGCCCATGCAGGTCCCAGTTTGGACTCAGGGCGCCCTGCCGCCAGCACTCCAGCTTTAGCTAGCCTCAAGCACTGGAGGGGGATTTAGGAAATTGTAAAGCAGACACTCCAAAGTGTGGCACGCTCTGAGGCACAAGGGCTAATGCAGGCTGATACTGCCTTTCTAAAAGCTGAAAAATTCTGGGTTGAAGCACATCTGGCTCTGAGGGTTTTGCCCAAGGGACTGTGCACCTGTTATTATCTCAGCCCCACTGACCTCCCAGGGCTGTTGTGAATTGGCCTCCAAGTAGACCAGGAGGGTACAAGAGCTTTGCAGGCTGTAGAAGATCAGCTAGGCACTCAGGCCCAGCCTGACCTGGTTTCTGGAGGTGACCGCCTTCTTTCTCCTCCCAGAATCAGCTCAGCCCCAGCCTCCATCTGGGATGGGAGGGCTGGTATACAGCTGTTTGTCTTTTGGGGATGGGGGTGACCTGGAGCGTGGTGCACAAGTTTCCACCAACCTACCCAGCTTCCAGGCCCTGGATTCTGCCATCAGCTGTAGAGTCCTTGGTAGAATTCATACTTGGGCTCCAAGTATGTAGCTGAGTAGTGAGTAGCTGAGCTACTCACTCTCTGTGACCTGGGGTGTGCCCCTTGCCCTCTCTTGAGCTCAGTCCCCCCATTTGTACAATTAAGGGGTCAGACTCCATGATGTCTAAGGTCGTTCTTCCTCCGACCTGGCAGCATTCTAGAATTCAGATCATGCCCCCACCACAAAGCAGAGACTCCTGGGAGGTGGCCCTGGAAGTCAATTGGAATTATTTCCCTTAGCCAGCTTCCCTTCCTCAGACCAGCCTTTAAAATGCCCTAGGCGCTGGACATGGAAGATGATGCTTTAAATACTTGAAGGGCTGTCATTGCTAAGGGAAGCGAGCGAGCTTCCTGTCACCGGAGGTGTGTAAGTGGGTGCTGAGCACTCATTGATGGGGCCCCAAGCACAGGAGAGAGCAGCTGGATTCTCTGTAGTTCCTTTCAGCTCTGGACTCTGAGATGCTCTGGTTCTGGATAGGGCTGGAGGAAAGGAAGGGCTGGGTGGGGACTCCACGGCAGAGGAAGGGGCATTCTTTCATTTGACAAACATGATTTGTAATGAGCTGTGGTCCCTGCCCTAAAGGTGCTCACAGTCAATCAAAGAGTCATGTTGGTCTGAGACGTGCTGCTAAAGACTACTGTTGGGGAGTCGAGGGGAGGAGTTCAAATCAGGTGGGGGGCCTCTTGGGGAAGGCTAATATTTGATCGGAGCTGTGATGGAAGGGCAGGAGTCATTCAGCAGAGAAGGGCAGACAAGGGCATTCCGGGCAGCGGCAGCCACGCGGGCAACTGTCAGCGGTGAGAAACAGTTGCTAGGTTTGTGGGGTTACAGCTCTCCGGGCACTGCTGGAATGAAGCTGGGGGTGTTGGGGTGTAAGTGGTGAGAGGCAGGCCGGAGGGGCGGCAGGGGCCAGGTCATGCACCATCTTGGGTGCTAAGCCAGTGAGTTTGAACTTGATCCTGAGGGCAACAGGGAGTGAGGAAAGCTTTCAGGCAGAGGAGCGAGGTGGGCAGAACTGTGTTTTAGAAAGCTCATTCTGGCTGCAGAGTGGAGACAAATGGCTTGGCAGAGCAGAGGGGAGAAGTGAGGAGGCGGGGACTGGGACCAGAGTGAGAGAGGGAGGGGGTCAGGGTGGGGAACGGGGCAGGATCAGGTGGATGAGATAGAAACATTTGTCCTGGCTGGAATATAAGCTCCCTGACGCAGGGGCTTTATTTTGTCCCCCGCTGAATTCCTGGGACCTAAAACAGTGGGCACATAGTAGGACCGCCTAAAAAAGTATTGAATGAATGTTTGTGAATGAAGTTGAATGAAGGGGACTCAGGTCTCAGGCCGGAGGAGGTGGGAGTGCTCCAAGACATGGAGAAGGAGCAGGGAGGAGGTGGCGCTAAAGCTGAGCACAGAGATATTCACTACAGCGTAATAGACAATGTTGGACCGGAAAGAAACGACCAGAATGTCCAACTCCAGGGGATGCTGATTAATTTACAGAGCATCTATGCTGTGCAGCCGTGGAATGAATGGGTGAGGTGGGTGGCTTTAGATTGGGTTGGAAGGATATTCCTGATATATTGTTAAGTGATGACAGCAAGTTACAGAGCAGCATGTGTCTTAAGGGAGGCATGTGGACCCGGATCTGGGAGAGGCCTGGGTGAGTGGGGGTGGGGATAGGAGTTGTTGCAGAGCAGATGGCAGCTGCAGGCAGGGGCAGGGATGACATCACTGGGAGATTGCTGGACCTGAGGACCACAGCCCTGCTTGGAGACAGGTGCAGGAGGAGCTTGGGGGGAGGCGTGTCACTGGGGGCACCCCAGCCGAGTCAGCTAAGCCTCCCGGCCCTGGGGTCATCTCCTGTGTCTAACCCAGTGGAAGTGCTCTAATGCTAAATCCTGGGATTCTCAGATCCTGTAAATTCCACTGAGCACCTCTGTTCCCTGCCCTTTCCTAGAGTCGTACATTATTGGCAAATGCTGAGCAGGGTCCAATGACCTCATGGTGTCCTCCCTACCCCTGGCCTGCCGCTCCCCAAAGTTTACCCACTCCAGCCCGGATCATTTTCTCTTTTGGGAACCCAGGTGTCCTGCCCCCTCCACTAGGGAAAGTCTGGCAGTGAAAATAGATCGAGGAGGGGGGCCAAGAGCCCTACAAGGCTGGGCCTGGGCAGCAGCTGCCCACATGCCCCTCTCTAGCTTCCCCCAAGGTGCTGCCTCAGCACAAAGCGTCCATCTGGCCAGAGGGTCAGGTTACTGCGTAAGGGGACCCAGGGCTCCCCTCCTCCCCACCTCATGGCCTTTTCAGCAGACTCAGGGCCCTGGGGCAGGGAGGGGTATCTTGGGAAAGAGTGGGGGTGGGGCAAGCAAAGGGCAAAGACCCTCAGGTTGGGGGGTCCTTTTTCTGACAGTATATGATTTGGGTCTTGGTCCCTTTCTAGGCCTCAGTTTCCTCATTTGACAATTGGGATAGAGTGACCATGGGCGCCAGGATGGAGAGAATACAGAGGAGAGGGTGAGGAGGGATCTGGGATGGTTACCCCCTCCCCCACACTCCCAAGTCCACTAGTTGCCTGGCTGCAAGCCCTAAGGGTGGGGCCTAGGAATATTTAACTAGAGCGTGGGGGGTGTGGGGAGAAAGATTATTCTACCCAAATCCCTCAAACTTGGATCTCCCAACCCGTTTTTGCCAGCAGAAGTGGGGCAGTGGGCCCAGGGGAAAGAACTCTGGGGGATGGGGACCCCAGAAACTCTCCTTGTCATCCTAAACCCCTCCGGAGGGCTCTCAGCCCTCTCTTCCAGCCCTGGGGGACAGCAGAGGACTGATGGGCAGAGCCTGGGCTAGGGGGAGGCACCCCAGGTTAAGACAGGCTCTGCCTGTGACCTGCTGAAATGCCAAGGACAAACCGCCCGGCTTCTCAGGCCTCAGTTTTGCCATCTGGAAATGGGCGAGCACTCACTTTCCGCTGCTGCTTCTCCCAGGCCGGGTCCAGCAGCAGGTCGCGGTCCCAGTCCTCCTCCTGTTGCATGTACTCGCCGCCCCCGCCGCCGCCGCCCACGAAGTGCCCCTCCCCGGCCCCCAGACTCTCGGGCTGCATAACCATCATCATCTTGCTCAGGCTCCTGGCTCCGCTCCGCTCGGCGCTCTCCAGAACACCGGGGCCGCGTTAAGTAGGGCCCGGCCCAGCCTCGGATCGGATTCGCGCTAAATATGGGGGAGGAGGGAGGGGCCGGATGGGGGCGAGAGCGCCCGGGTCCGGACCAGGCAAGAGGTTGCCCTGGGGCCAGGGGACTGCAGAATTTGGGGGCGCTGAGGTGGATCCCGTGGCGGAGATCCGGGGTTCGCGTTCCGGCTCGGCCGCTGGGCGCTGTGTGACCTTGAGAAAGCCACGGGCCTTCTCTGAGTCTGTTTCCTCATGTCTACAACGGAGATGATGATGATAATAGTGTCTGCAGACCTCTCTAGAAGCTGCCTTTTGGGCCTCCTCCCGACCCTCTTACTGCGCTGTGCCGGTGGGAAACCTGCAGCCCAATCCCCATTTCACAGTCAGAAACACCGAGGCGCACAGCTGTTTTGAATGTTTTCTGGGGTGATGAAGGTAGACACTCGAGTATGGGGAGGGGCTCTAGGCCAGTTGGATGGGCCGATGCAGGACTATTAATATCGGGACGGCTGGGGGCGGGTGAGGGGGAATGTGCTGATCCGGGAAACCCCGACACCACCGGGGCTGCAACTCCATCCCGGCGTGCCAGCCAGCGGGACCGGCGCGCAGGGCTCCCGCAGGCGGGGCGGGGCCTCCGCGAGTGGGCGGGGCTATAACTCCGTGGCCCTGCCCGGCTCTAGCGCCAACCGGATTCCAAGCATCTCCTTGGCTCATTCGGTCGTCCAATCACGTCTCTGCATCTGCCGCCCGCTCACCGCATCCCTTCGGAGCTTCTATTGGTCGTGGCAGACGTCCGTCTGCCACTATCCCCGCCCGAATACGGAAGCGGCGGAGTACTTGGGGTCCGACCGCGGGTGGGCCCAGGCCATGGGGCCGCCCTGGGCGGGCGGCAGCGCGGAGTGGGCGCCCGCGCGGCTGCCCCTCGTGCTCACCGCCCTGTGGGCGGCGGCCGTGGGCCTGGAGCTGGCCTACGTGCTGGTGCTGGGTCCCGGGCCGCCCCCGCTGGGACCCCTGGCCCGGGCCTTGCAGCTCGCTCTGGCCGCCTTCCAGCTGCTTAACCTGCTGGGCAACGTGGGGCTCTTCCTGCGCTCGGATCCCAGCATCCGGGGTGTGATGCTGGCCGGCCGCGGTCTGGGCCAGGGCTGGGCGTGAGTGAGGCGCGGGATCTGGAGGGGGCGGGGAGAAGCGGGAGCCTTGGACAGGCTGGGCGGGGGGCCGTAGGACCTGAGGATGTTAGAACCAGATTACAATAGGATCCGCTTGTTAGAGCCAGAGAACTCCTTTAAAACCTGGGATGGTAGAGCCAGAAGGAGTATCATTCATTCACTTACAAATATTTACTGAGCACCCACTATGTGCAAGGTACTGTTCCAGGCACCAGAGGTACAATAAAACAGATTCCTGACCTCCTGGAAGCTGATTTCAATGGAGGAGGGGGCAGGTGATAAACTATAGGTGTAATAAATAAGCAAATTGCGTAGAATGTTAGAAAGTCGTGGTGGTATGAAAACAAAAAGAGCAGGGTGGAGGGGGTGCAAGTTGCAGTTTGAAATAGGGTGGTCGAGGTAGGCCTCATTGAGAAGGTGGCATTTGAGCAGACTTGAAGGAGGTGGGGGAGTTAACTATGTGGGAATCTGGGGGAGGAGTGTTACAGGCAGAGGGAACAGACAGTGCGAAGGCCCTGGGGCAGTCGTGTGTCTAGATTGTTCCAGGAATATCAAGAAGGTCAGTGTGGCTGGCATGGAGTGAGAGAGGGCAAGGAGAGAGGTTAGAGATGTAAAGACCTTGTAGGACGTTGAAGACTTTGCTTTTTACTAGAAGTGAAATGGAGAGCCATTGGAAGGTTTTGAGCCGAGGAAGGACATGACTTAGATTTTGAAAGGATCAGTCTGGCTGCTGGGTGAAACTATACTGAAGGGGACAAAGGTGCAATCAGGGACACCAGTCAAGAGGCTGTTGCAATAATCCCGGGGAGAGTTCATGGTGAATTGGACCAAGGTGGTGACCATGGAGGAAGTGACAAGTTTGCTCCTGGATATAAGAGGCCAGAGAAGGGCCCAGGGCTGAGGATATGAGAGCTGGAAGTGACCTCAGACCTTCAGTGCTAGAACTGGAAGGGCCTGGGAAGTGAGGTTCAGCCTCCTGCATTGACCTATGAAGACCCTGAGGCTCAGCTAGGTCAGTGGCCGTGCCTGCTTTCCCAGGATGGGCTCAGGGGCTGACCTGGGCATGTGAGGCACTCAGGGCTGCTGCAGGAACTGACCCTCTGGTTCCTTCCCTGCAGTTACTGCTACCAGTGCCAAAGCCAGGTGCCACCACGCAGCGGGCATTGCTCTGCCTGCCGCATCTGCATCCTGCGTCGGGACCACCACTGCCGCCTGCTGGGCCGCTGCGTGGGCTTCCACAACTACCGGCCCTTCCTGTGCCTGCTGCTTCATGCTGCTGGCGTCCTGCTCCACGTCTCTGTGCTGCTGGGCCCTGCCCTGTCAGCCCTGCTGCGGGCCCACGCGCCCCTCCACACCGCCGCACTTCTCCTGCTGCCCTGGCTCATGCTGCTCACAGGTGGGGAGCCTGGGACGCCTCCACAGGGAGGCAGAGGCCCTGGTAGTGGGCCATTCTGGTGGGAGATGGGATTTCCTGCTGGTTCTCCTGGCAGTGCCCTGGGACCCAGTCCCAGTGTCATTTATCGGGGTGATGGCAACCTGGTATTCAACTGGGTGTGCAGTACAGTAAAATACAGGGGCTCAACATGGGGACAGAGTTCTGGCTGGGAGAATCAGGGAAGGGTTCCAGGAGGTGTTGGCAGAGGAGGAAAGACTAGTAGGAGTCCACCAGGATGGGGGGGAGGGTTGGGATGGTGAGGGAGCATTCTAAGTGAGGGGGCAGTGTGAACCAAGGCTTGGAGGTTGGGCAGGGAGTAGTGAAGGCAATTTGACAGCAATTGTGAGCATTAAGGCTAGGAGGTAGGTGAGGACTGGCTAGTGGAGGACCTTGATGCTGGTGTGAGGAGATGGCCCCTACTTGACTGGGCAGTGGGGAGCCAGTGAAAGTTACAGGCAGGGGAAGGTCCGGTCTTTGGTAGTTGGGAGGGAAAGACTTGGATCAGGAGGCTGATTGAGAGGCTGTGTTCTAGATGACACATTTATTTCTCTTTCCAATGACACTACCCAAGATAAAAGCCCACTGGTCTTTTATACTCTTTGTTCTCTGCCCCCCAAAATGCTTTGGGCTTTCTCTCCCAACTCCTTCCTCCTGACCTCTCCACAGTCTCCTCTGTCATCTTGTCCTGCAGTTACTTAATTCCCTGACCACTCTGAACAGTCACTGTGTCTCCTCATCCTATCCAGGCCCAGCTCTGTCCCAAGAACCCCCTCCCTGCAGCCTGGGAGAGGCCTTGGGGGGGCCCAGTGGGGTTGTCAGTATCTTCTTCTGCCCACGCTGGCTTCCTGAGCAGCCTTCCTCTGCCCTGCCCAATGACCCCCTGCCTGCATGGAGGCTTAGGCCTCCAGCTGCCCCTCCCTGCACCCCACCCCCTGCGGTCACGCTTGGCCTTCCGCTCACTCCCCTTGGTCACTGAAGATGGGCTCCAGTGCCCGGTCCCTCTCTCTCAGCCCTGGACCCTGTTGAGATCACAGCTGTCTAAACGTCTGGGCAGATGGCCCAGTCAGCACCCAATGGCCCAGCTTCTTGACCTCATCCATTTCCTTCCCCTACTGTCAGAATCCAAAATGTTTCACCCCCCAAATCACCCCATCAGTCACCCCCCTCTCTGTTCCCCGCCTCCTCTCCTATCCATCTCCACTCTCTTACCCCACGATGCCTGTTCCGTGAGCTCCTGGCCCTCACCTTTCTGTCCATCAGCACCTTCCCTCTTCATCGCCCCCACATCCGGCTTAGAGCCCTCATTTCCACCATCCTCCCACCAACATCTCAAACCTCTTCTCTCTGTCTTCTGCTGGGCCTTCCTGGCTTCTCTGTGTCTGCCCCTGGCTGCTAAGAGCTGCCAGACGCATGGTTCTTTGTGGCAGGTTGGTACCATGCCACATTCGTGGCTGCTCACCTCAACAGGCCCTCAGCCGTGCCTGGCTGTCCTGGTTTCTCATAAGCTTACTTCCCTAATGATTATAGCTCAAACCTTCCCACTTTCCTGTCCTCCAAGCCCCTATCTCTCTTGAAAATCCATCACAGAGAAAACAAGACATCAGATGGTACGTCCGGAATCGTCCTGTCCTCAGATCTCTGGGCCAGGCTGACGGCCTGCAGCTTCTCCTGGTGGCGGGCCCCGCCTCCCTGCTCGGAGGCCTTTCCTCCCGTCTCCCGCTACTGGCTGCCTTTGGGTTTTCCCAAAGGTGCAAACCCTCTCTTCACCCCACAGCCTCCTCCTCTCGCTCTTCTGTCAGCAGCCAAGCTTCTGGAAGGACTTGACTGGGCTCATGGGCTGCTTTTCTTCACCTCCACCCATTCCTTCACCTGCTCCAAACTGGCTTCTTTCCCCACCACTCTTCTGAGACTGCCACGCTCCCAGGCCTGTCTCCACAAAACCCGCAGGATCCTTTTGAGTTCTCTTCTTGCTTCACGACACCCGTCAGCCTCCTGGAAGGGCTCTACCCTTGGCGTCACCGACAGCCCTTCCTCTTAGTTCCCTTTCTCTTCTTCATCTGCTCCCTGAGGACCTGATTTCCTGGTGCTGAGGTCGAGGCACCATTCTCATCTCACTCTACACACTCTGGTGGGTCTCAGAACTGCCTGGGTACCGACTACCCACAGATCTGCATATCCAGGCTGGGCTTCTCTCCTGAGCTTCCAGAACTGTCCACTCACTTGTCTCGCGGGCACCTCTCTGTCCTGCCCTAGGACCTTCAAACAATGTTTTCTTCCCTCTTTACCTAGCAAATACCTCCTTAACCTTCAGGCACCACCCAAAATGTCACTTTATCAAAATAGATGACATCCACTTCCCTTACTTAGCCTCTTAATAAGCGTGCATGGCATTTTCCCCCCATAGGCTCTCTCTTTTATTGAAGTAAAATTCACATAACATGAAATTCATCATGTTAACCATTTTCAAGTGTAGAGTTCAGTGGCATTTAGTACCTTCAAAATGTTTTGCAACCATCACCACCATCTAATTCCAGAACATTTTCATCGCCCCAAAAAGAAACTCTGTACCTCTTAAGCAGTCACTTCCCATTCCCCCCAGCCCTTGGCAACCACTGATCTACTGTCTGTCTCTATGGATTTGCCTGCCTGGGGCATTTCATATGAATGGTATCACGCATGTCCTCTTGTGTCTGGCTTCTTCTACTAGTGTGACGTCCCGTGGCATCTTGTAGTTCATTAGTTCAGCAGATACTTACTACCTACTATAGGCCAGGATGGTAGAAGACGCTGTACTTTTCCACTGTAACACACATCACAGCTGCAATTAAGTAACTGACCAATGGTCTCTTGACTGTCTGTCCGTGAATTCCCTGAGGTCAGAGATGCTCTCTGCTGTTCATCCTGGTATTCACCAGTGCCTGGCACCGTGTCCAGCACATGGGAGGTGCTCACAAGTTGGTGATGCATGAAGGAAAGTCGCATCTAGGGCAGGGGGCTGTGTCTGCCCAGTTCACCAGGGTGTTCCCATCACCTGGCATGGGCTGGCCAGGGAGTAGCAACTCGGTGTTTGCTGAGTGGAGAGTGAGCCCTGCTTCGTGGCGGAGGGTAGAGGTGGAAGGAGGCAGGAGCTGGGCTCTGGGAGGGCTGGGCCCCTGCCGCAGCCTGACCCTCTCTGCTCTCTCCTCGCAGGCAGAGTGTCTCTGGCGCAGTTTGCCCTGGCCTTCGTGACCGACACGTGTGTGGCGGGTGCGCTGTTGTGTGGGGCTGGGCTGCTCTTCCACGGGCTGCTGCTGCTGCGGGGCCAGACCACGTGGGAGTGGGCGCGGGGCCAGCACTCTTATGACCTGGGCCCCTGCCACAACCTGCAGGCGGCCCTGGGGCCCCGCTGGGTGCTCGTCTGGCTCTGGCCCTTCCTGGCCTCCCCACTGCCTGGGGACGGGATCACCTTCCAGACCACAGCTGACGTGGGACTCATGGCTTCCTGACTCCAGGAAGAGCCAGAGCTGTACAGGGACGGGGAGCAGAAGGAGGGCTCATAACTTATTTGAGGCTCACCCCAACCGTGGGAGGGGAGGCGGGTTGGTATGTAACGCCTACTTTCGGCAACTCCAGCCCCATCCTTGCCCTTGCCCCTGCCCCGCTTGGATTCCTAGTGTCCAGGGCTTGGGCCCTGTGACTACTCTGCCTCTACCGGTGGCCCCTGAGTACAGTGGAGGGTCTGGCAAAGGGCTGCTCAGCCAGCCTAGCTGCCCCTTTGCAAAGTTAATAAAGCGCCCACTTGCCTCTTGGACTCCCTCCATCTTTGTGGGTTTCTGGTCCCTCACTGTTGCCTGTGCCGCTGTTTTGGTTCCTCTGATTGTCAGGCCTGGGAACCACAGAATGCCTGAGGATCTGAGGGGCCAGGGCTCTGCCTCCCAGGGCCTTAGCGGGGTAGGGGTGGGGGCACCAGTGGGCCAAGGCAGCATGTAGTGATTCAGGGTCTGAGAATCCAAAATTCTTTCCCAGGTTCAGTGCTTTATAGTTAGAAGCATTTCTACAACAGCAACGTCAGTGAACCTCCCTCCAGCTAACCTGGTATACTGGGCAGCCATTATGCGGGTGAAGAACTTAAAGCTCTGAGAGTTGATGTGATAAGATCATGGGGCAGTAAATGGAGGTTCAGGATTTGAACCCAGATCTCTGTGCTTTCTCCTTCACCCTTGCACAGCCGAGGGAAGTGAGCAGGAAGACTCTAGGCAGAGAAACCAGGGGGGGATGTTCAGGCATCTGTGAGGGAGGGTGCTGAGAGGGCTGTACTCCTCCTCTCTTAACCCCTTCAGGAGTTAACCATTTTTATTTAAATATAGTAAATAGAATTCCCGTTAAATGTGGCAGGTTTAAACACATGGGTTTATCTCTGTTTCCTCTTAAAATCTAAAATGACAGTAAAGAAATAAAAAAGATATAAATTTAGAAGCACAAAGAAAGTAGGAGGGAGACAGCTGTAGACCAAAGAGCCTAAGGACATTTTGAAAGATGGAAAGTGGAGAGAGGTTCATTATTCTCTTAGCAGAGAATTGGAAGTTGAAATTAAGTGCTCCCAGAGGGAGGGGCCAAGAGGCAGCCAGATCGCCCCCCAGAGCCCTGAGAGGCACAGGCATTCCACCAGCACCATGGAAGGCCAGGTTTGGGGCTGACAGTAGGGACTGGTCCCAAGTCTATATGAGGAGCAGCTAGGTTGCCCCTCCCCCCGGGGCCCATCTCACCCCTTGCAGCCAAGCAGCTAGCCCCCTGGGGTGGAGGTGGAGGCTCTTCAAAGAAGCTTTGGGTCTCAGGGGCACTGGAGAGGGTGGGGATGAGAGGCTGGACCAAAAATGGGGTTAAGTGAAAGTCTACAGATCCTGCTGGGAGGGGGTCTTCCAGTGACAGGCAGGCTTGCCTGCCAAGAATCCTGAGAAGCCCACCCTTCTGACAGGCCGTGCCCACGCCCACAAAGGTTTGAGCTGCTAGGACTTCTTTGTTTTTCCAAATGGCATGCTCTATTACTATTTTTTAATTCCATTAGGAACTTGGTGTGCCTGGTGCTTTGTGCTGTTCATAAGCATTGGCAGACTTCCTGTTTCCTCTTCGGCTTTACCCTCACCCTCCAGAATATCTTCTCTTGTTTTTTTTATTAAATAGTGCGGAGACGCAAGAGAGTATTCGTAAAATAAAGAGAAACACCACCCACCCCACCCCCACTTAAGAAATGGATACCATTTCCTTTGAAGTCCCTGCTGTGCCCTTCCCTGGTAGAGGAAACAGGAGCGGTCTTAATCATTCCCTTGCTTTGCTTTGTAATTTTACTGCATATGTTTTGTATTGGTTTTGCGTGTTTTTGAATTTTATATAAATGGAACCATAACGTGTTTATTCTTCTGTGACTTTTCACTCAATATTATGTTTCTGAGCTTTATCCAAATTAATTTGTATAGCTGTAGGGAATTCCTTTTCCTTGCTGTAGAGTGATCCATTGAATATATCACAATTTATCTTTCTATTTTGTCCCACTGGTCATTTTATTTACCCCTGTATATGACCCTCTAAGGTCTATTCTTGGCCCCTGCCCTTCCATATAAATTTTAGAATCAGCTTGTCAAGTTCCACCAATAAAAACCCCTTTGAGGAACCCAACTGAATCTATAGATCAGTTTGGGGGAAAATCGACATCTACATGAAATTGGGTTTTCCAGTTCATGAACGTGGTATATCTCTCCATTTAATGTTTTCAATAAAGTTATACTTTTCCTCATAGAGATCATGCCTTCTTTTTGCTTAGATTTATTCTTAAGTATTTGATAGTTATGCTATTGTACATGGTTTATGAAAATAGATTTTTTGTGTCTAGCAAACCTAAAACTTACAATTTACTTGTAAATTCTTCTGAGTTTTCTGTATTTATGATCATATCATCTATGGAAAGACAGTTTTGTTCTTCCTTTTTAATTTTTATACCTCTTATTTTTCTTGCCCCTTCTGTATGGGTGGAGGAAAGGTAGCAGGCACCCTTGACTTGTTTCTGACCTTAGAGGGAATAATTTCAATATTTCACCATAAAATATGTTCCCCTTTTTTTTTTTTTTTTTAATATATAGAGGCCCTTTGCTAGGCTGAGGAAGTTCCCTTCTGTTCCAAATATGTTAAGAGTTTTTATCCTTTTACTTTCAATCATTTTCTGTCTAAGAACAGCCTATAGATGGATTTTTTAAAGCTAGATAACACTTTGTCTTCTAATTGAAGCATTTAGTCATTTATATTTATTGTAATTAATGTACTTGGATATATTTCTACCACTTTATTTTGTGCTTTCTATTTGTCCCACCTTTTCTAGTTCTTTACCCTTTTTATTTAAAGTTATCGTTTGCTGGGTACGGAATTCTAGGTTAATAGTTATTTCCTCTCAATATATTGAAAATATTATTGTCTTTTGGTCTCCATTGTGGCTGTAAGTCAGCTATCATCTATTTTTTTTTTTGTTATTATTGTTCCTTTGAAGATACTTTTTGTCTTCAACTGCTTTTAAGATATTTTGTCTTTGGTTTTCTGCAGTTTTACTGTGATGTGCCCAAGTGTGGCTTTCTTTGTGTTTATCCTAATAAGAGTCCTTGGGTTTCCTGATTCTACAAATTGGTGTCATTCATCAGTTCTAGAAAATTCTCAGTCATATCTTCAGATATTTTCTTTGTCCCTACTGGAACTCTGATTAGACCTCCCTACTCCATCCTCCTTGTCTCTTAATAGCCCATATTTTCCATCTCTATTTATGGCATTCTGGATAATTTCTACAGATCTAACTTCCAGTCTTTCTTCAGCTGCTAAACCAATCTGTTGAGTTTTTTTTTTTTTAAGTGGTTGTACCAACTCATCCACTGAATTTTACATGTCAAATATTTTATTTTTCATTTCTAGAAGTTCTGTTTGGTTCTTTTACAAATTTTCTTGATGATTTTATATACTTTCTTGCTTTCAGTTTTTTTCCTTTAAATGTATTGAAAACACATTTTATATTCTGTTTGGTAATTCCAATATCTCAAGTCTTTGAGGCCTGATTATGTGGGCTATTGTTTATGTTGGATTTTGCTCACAATGCCTTATTTTCTTGCAATTTTTGAGTTTTGACTGAGTTCATATTTCTTGGAATTTTATCAATGGGGATTTTTTTGACATTGGGTTAAAAGTAATTTCCTCCAGAGAGGAAACGTGGTTATCAGTTGCCTGATGACAAACCAATCCTGTACCACTTTAAACTAAATTTTCAGCTAGAGGTCTTTTCGACCACCCAGGTATTGTCTATCCAGATTGCAAACTTATTCAGGCTGGCTTGTGGTTAAAAATTCTCAGGAGAGGTTTTTCCCCCCTTCTACTTAGCTTGGAGTAGACTTGTAGATAGGCAATTTCTGTTGCTGGTTCTGGTGAGATTTCAAAGAACCAGCTTTTTGTTTTGTTGACTTTCTCTATTGATTTCTTGTTTTCAATTTCATTGATTTCTGCTCTAATTCTTTTTATTTCTGTTCTTCCACTTACTCTGGATTTGCTTTGCTCTTCTTTTTCTAGTTTCCTAAGTTGGAAACCTAGATTACTGATTTTAGATCTTTCTTATTTTCTAATATATGAATTCAATGCTGTAAATTTCCCTCTAAGCACTGCTTTCACTGCATCCTACAAATTTTGATAAGTTGTGTTTTCATTTTCATTTAGTTTTCAAAATATTGTTTAATTTCTCTTGAGATTTCTTCTTTGACCCATGTTATTTAGAAGTGTGTTTAATCTCCAAGTATTTTGTGCTTTTTCCAATTATCTGTTATTGATTTCTAGTTTAATTCTGTTTTGGTCTGAGAGCAGACATTGTATGATTTCTATTCTATTAAATTTGTTAAGGTATTTTTTATGGCCCAAGTGGTCTATTTTGGTGAATGTTCCATGTGAGCTTGAGAAAAATGTGCATTCTGCCGTTGTTGAAATAGTTTGTAGATGTCAGTTATATCCAGTTGATTGAGCTCAACTGTGTCCTTGAAGAGATACCATAATTAAAGACTGAACAGAGACCAAAAAGAGTTGAGAGTTAAAATAATAGAATTTTAAAAACAATTCCAGAGAAGAGCTGAAAGATGAAAATCTCTCAGAAAATAGAAGAAAAAGACAAAATGAGAGAAGAGAGAGGAAAATCAGAGGATCAATTCTGGTCTTTCTGGAATTCCCATTTATCAGATGCTGGTCTTAATCATAATTTCAGAGAGAACAGAGAAAATGGGAGGAAATCACTTAAGCAACAAAATTTTCCAGAACTGAAGGATGAACATCTCCACCCCACAGCTCAACAAATAATGACACATGGATGGAAGGCATGACCTGACATTTGAGAACCTCAGAGAAAGAGAAGATGGGAAGCAAAAATGGCATGGAACTTCTCAACAGCATTACCAAAAATAAGAATACAAGGGAGCACTGCCTTAAAAATGATTTTCTTGCATGAAAATGATTTTCAACTTTGAATTTTATGACCCAAACTATCACATACGTGTATGAATTGAGTAAAGAAATTTTCAGACAAACACTGTCAAAAATTTTAACTCTAGTGACTTTTTTTTTTTTTTTGTGAGGAAGATTAGCCCTGAGCTAACATCTGTTGCCAACCCTCCTCTTTTTGCTGAGGAAGATTGGCCCTGGGCTAACATCCGTGCCCATCTTCCTCTACTTTATATGTGGGACGCCTGCCACAGCATGGCTTGATAAGCAGTGTGTAGGTCTGCACCTGGGATCCGAATCCACAAACCCCGGGTTGCTGAAGCCAGGCACGGGAACTTAACCACTACACCACTGGGCTGGCCCTCTAGTGACTTAAAAGAAGGTACCTGTGGATATGCTTCACCAAGTGTGGGGTCAAAGAACTATGAAGGAGGAAGACATGGGGCCCAGGAATCAGGGGATCTAGCCAGGGACACAGCAAAGGGAATCTCCAGAAGTGCTTGCAGCAGTTCTAGAGAACAAACAGGCCTCAGTGAAGCAGGGGATGATGGGAAGTGAACTGTCCAGAAAAAAGAACTGTCAGACCGGGTGGGGGAAGAATTAGCAATTGGTATATACAGAAAACTAAGCAAATGGAAACACAGGGCAATTATTAACTCCATGAAAAATTAAAAAGTACCAAAAAAGGTAATTTAATTATAGCCCAGTTCTTGGCTCTGCAGTGAATAACTTTCACATAG